TTTATGAAAAATTTTTCTTTGCCAATTTCATCTTCTAGACATGATTGCAAGAAAAATATTTTCATTAATCTAAGTAGCCACAAGCTCTCCAACAACCAAATTACATAGCACAAATTTACAAACAACAAAACTCCTCACATGAATAACTCTACTCAAACAACATAGCTTACAAACTCAACATACTAAAGACTTCTGCACTAACATAATAGCTTTCAAACTTTCCAATTCAAAATACTTTTGTTCCCCAATTCTTAATAATAAAGCTCCCTACAACAAATAAACTGAGCTTTCTAAAAGAACACAACAAATCCTTTTTTGGCCCCCTTTTCCCTCCCAAAAAAAAAGAAAATTCCCCCTTCTTCTTTGTACGAAGCTCTAACAACAAATAATAATTCATTACATTAATATAAATCAATATTAAATTCAAGAGAATGCTACGTAACTATCAGGCACCAATAATAAGAAAAAGAATCTACTAAAATAGTAAGAAAATTACTCGTAGCAAAGGAACAAATAGTGTTCAACACAAATTGGCCAAGCTATAAGTACAACTACTAGTAAATAACCAATTTGAAATCACGGTGGTCCAGTTTTTAAACAACTAACCGTCCCACCCAAACAAATCAAATAATAAATCTATGGGCCAGCCTCGTTCATAGGAAACTAGGTTTGGTAAGACCCACTAAACCTGGCGACTTTCATAGGGAAAGCCATAAGCCTGACCTATGGGAAAGTATATAGACTGGAAATGACCAAAGCCCTAAAACCCAATTAAAACCCCCGGCCACTTCTATAGAAGTTCATAAGTCCGACCTCTTGGCAAATGTTTTAGGTGATAATACAACCCTAGACCCTCACTTGGGCATGTCCTGTCTATAAACTTAGTTGTTAAGACCCATAACTCGGGCCACTTAGCTAGTGCTAGGATCGTAAGACCCATCATTAGGCAACTTCTAAGGAGCACTAAGACCCTAATCCAAATCCAAATTTAAGGCAAATTTAAATTATGGGCATCCATAGTCTATAGGACTTTAGTTGTAAGACCCCAATAACTCGGCGCACTTACTTAAAGTCTAGGTCGTATAAAAGAGCCCATCATTAGGCAAACTTCTAAGGAAAGCACTAAGCCTAAATCCAAATCCAATTTAAGCTCAAATATAATATGGGCATCTAGTCTATTAGAGTAGGTTGTAAGACCCGCTATCGTGGCAAACTTCTACCTTGAAAGTTGTAACGCCCCCCCCACAGTTTTAGAAAATTGGTTAAAAAAATAAATAAGCAATGTTCTAAACCTTACAAAGCAAATTTAAATTCTAAGGCATCTTAGTTTAAACGATTTAAGTTGGATAGACCGCTTTTCAGGCTACTTCCTTAAGGGAAGCCATAAAGTCCTAACCAAATTAATTAAAATTCCTCGGGCATTGCCCTAGTCTATATGGTTGGTTGTAAAACCCACAACCTCCGCCGCTTAGCTTTACCAAGGGTCTAAGGTCGTAAGACCCCCGTTAGCAATTTCTAGGACAGCCATAAGACCTATTCCAACTACTCAAAATTCTCCGGGCAAACTCTAATTGAGCCGTAAGCCCCAAACTATAACAAACTATCCGGACAACTCCTAATTGGAGCTGTAAAGCCCCAAACTAAATAAATTACCGGGTCAACTTCTAAGGAAGTAATAAGCCCTAACCCAAATTAAATCAAACTAAAATTCACACTTAACTACTTCAGTCTACTCGGGATCCCTGAGAGGAGGCAACCCATGGCTGCTAATCAGATTCCTTGGACACTACGGTCAATGATTGTTAGTGTTGGTAGACTGAATCTACGG